AGCCTCGTTGGATCCAATACTGAACTAAGAGTCATCCTCAGGGTGGCAACCCGGGTCTTTTCTCGAAGACGATCCGATTAAAGGTCACCTAACTTAACCTAGGTCTTTTCCTTACAATCGTTGAGCACTAAAGTCATCACGGTCCAACCTGGATCTGTTCCCTAGTGGCCAGAGTCACCACACACAGTGAAATAATTTCCCTGGACTAAATACACAGATGGTCCTAATAATCAATACACATCAGTTTCGCAAAACATGGTAGTTCATTATTATAAACATGAGACCAAAACAAATAGTTTACATTATGCCAAGTTCACACATGTTTCAGAAATAATTTGATTCCATTGATAATATAATAATTTATCAAAACAGTTTAGTCCTGAAACAACAATTTAATTTTCAACAATTCAGGGTAGGGGAACATTTTTTAGAAAAATATATAGCATGAAACTACTCACCTAAAAATGAAATAATATAATCCTCGAATAAAGTATGAAAGTCCAACTAGTGCCCTGAACAAAGTATTAAAACTACACGTCATTACTAATTCAAACATACTAAAAGGAATAATAAACTAAGTAACCTCAAACTAAAGCGTACTAACACGGCTCAACCCAACTCACCGTTACTCTTAAATATTACCTAAGTTCATGTTCTTCAAGGTCTAAAATCACCCAAGACATGGGTTCAAATCGAAACTTAATTAAAAGTAACTTTAAGATAAAACAAAATTTTAACTAGTTTTTCCAATCTATTCGCTAACTTTGAAAATTAAAGAAACCACTCCACGTTGTTTGAAAAATTCTAAAACCCTCCAGATATCAACTAATATATCCTAAGTTTCAAACCCAAATAATTTCACTTGATTTTCTTATCAAAATAATTATCTACAATTAATTATATCTAAACAGGTTGTTTTCTGCAACACTTTAAAGAAATTGATGGTTCTCTTAGTATACATGAGAAATCAACGCAAGGCCAAAAAATTACGAAACTAGACTCGTAACTGGTTCTAATGACGCTGATTTGATAATTTATATCAACTAATATATCCTAAGTTTCAAACCCAAATAATTTCACTTGATTTTCTTATCAAAATAATTATCTACAATTAATTATATCTAAACAGGTTGTTTTCTGCAACACTTTAAAGAAATTAATGGTTCTCTTAGTATACATGAGAAATCAACACAAGGCTAAAAAATTACGAAACTAGACTCGTAACCGGTTCTAATGACGCTGATTTGATAATTTTCAAATTTATACCCAAAGAGAACAACACTCCTGAACTTACTATTTAAAACCAGTTTTCTGGACAAATTTGAACGCATCAGTTTATATGGATTTTGACTCCCAAAAATTATGAAAAAAATTCAGATATGCAATTCAATATGTAATTAATCTATTGTAAAAATTTCAGTTCAAAATTCATTCGTTTGATAAGGTTTCTTGATTTTTAAAGTTTGTGATTCTGTACAAAATTTTTTAGACTAAGAATTACACCATTCTTTATACACAAAACACTATCCCAATCAGCCAAAAATTTCATAGCCGTGCCCAACACATGTAGCTACTTCACCAATTTGATCCATCAACTACGCAGCAACTCACAAGAAGAAGAAAAAGATAGTGAGATAATTAAAAAATAAGGGATTTAGCTTGCCAATGGCCACCACAAAACTCAATAATTTTCAGCACTTTTCACCCAAAGACCTAGAAATCTCTCTCCCTCTTTTTACCTCTCACGGCTGCTTTGAAAGTTGTGGGAAACAATAACATAAGAATTAGGGCTTTGTTTTCCTTTATATATATATCTAACCAAAATGCTCTAATTTATTGTCTCTTTATATTATTTTAATTTCTATCTCCATTAAAATACAAATATTATTAGATCAAAATATGCTTACTAATTTGGTACTTAAATTTATTTATTTATTTAAATAATAAATCTTGCCTCTAAATTAAAGACTTTCACCATAAATTTATTTTAGTTTTAAAAATTAATTAAAAGACCTCCAAATATTTAATTTGCACTTTAGGATTCACCATCAAAATATTTGAGATTGTAATATTATTATTATTTAATTATTTGCTTGATATGTATATTCAGGTTCTCACATTCTCCCCCCCTAAAAGAAAAGTTTCGTCCTAGAAACTAACCTGAATAAATCATGAGAATAGATGTGGATACTTCTCGCGCATCTCATCCTCGCGTTCCCAAGTCGCCTCTTCAACTAGATGATTATGCCACAGTACCTTAACCAATTTAATGACCTTTATACGCAACATTTTCTCTTTCGAATCCAAAATCTGAACAGGCATCTCCTCATACGAAAAATCCTCTCTAATCTGAAGCGGCTCATAATCTATCACATGCGACGGACTGTGCACATATTTCCTCAGCATAGACACGTGAAACACATTATGCACTTCTACCAACCTAAGGGGTAGAGCAACACGATACGCAACCTCACCAACCTTCTCCAATACCTCAAATGGACCAATGTATCTAGGACTCAGCTTTCATTTCTTTCCAAACCTGATCAATCCTTTCCATGGTTATACTTTCAAGAATACCATATCCCCCACATGAAACTCTAAGTCTCTCCTACGATGATCAGCATAACTTTTTTATCTACTCTGAGTAGTCAATAATCTCTTTGATGGTGATAATTTTCTATGTAGCATCCTCCACCAAATCAGGTACCAACATTTTTCTCTTACCAACCTTATACCAACACAAAGGAGACCCACACTTCCTCCCATACAAAGCCTCATAAGGAGCTACTCCCAAACTAGAATGATATCTATTATTATACGCAAACTCCATGAGTGGCAAATAATCATCCCAATTACCTCTCCACTCCAAAGCACAAGCCCTCAACATATCCTCAAGGGTTTGAATAGTCCTCTCCGATTGCCCATCTGTTTGAGGGTGATAAGCTGAACTAAAATTTAACCGAGTACCCATAGTTGATTGAAACGCACCCCGAAACTTAGACACAAAACGAGGGTCCTGATATGACACTATTGACACAGGTGCACCATGCAATCTAACAATCTCCATCACATACAACTGTGCAAATCGAGCTAGAGAATAGTTCATCCAAATTGTAATAAAATGTGCTAACTTGGTTGTAATTACTACTAATACGAGGAAATCCGCACACGAAATCCATGGTAACATGATCCCACTTCCACTCTGGTATAGATAAGGGATGTAGTTTCCCCGTGGGTTTCTGGTGTTCTACTTTAACCTGTTGACACACCAAACATTAAGCCACAAATTCTGCAATATCTCTCTTCATACCATTCCACCAAAAATGTTCATGAAGATCCCTATACATCTTAGTGCTTCCAGGATGAATGCTGTAACTAGAACTATGTGCCTCCGTCATAATCTCCTTTCTCAAATCACCACCAATAGGAATACAAATTCGGCTACGAAATCTAAGCAACCTATCATCACTAACCACAAAGTCTACATGCTTACCCTCTGGCATCTCTTCTTTAATATGCTTACATTGGGGGTTAATCTCCTGAGCTAAACGAATATGTTCTCTCAAGGTCGGCTAAACTGTCAATTGACTACAATAAGCCCTATTACCAGGCGTAACAACCTTAAGCCTCAAACGTCTCATGTTTTCCACCAAACAACTCTCAATAGACAAAGCAGCTACATCTCCAACTGTGATCTTCCTACTCAAGGCATCTGCAACCACATTTGCCTTCCCCGGATGATATAAAATATTCACATCATAATCTTTTAGTAACTCAAGCCATCTTCTTTGCCTCAAATGTAGTTCCTTCCGTTTGAAAATATACTTCAAACTCTTATGATCAATGTAAATCTCATATGACTCTCTATACAAATAATGCTGTCAGATCTTAAGAGCGAAAATCACTGTTGCTAACTCCAAGTCATGTGTAGGATAGTTTCTCTCATGTATTTTCAACTGTCGTGACGCATAAGCAATCACCTTCCCATGCTGCATGAGCACACATCCTAAATCCTGTCATGAAGCATCACTATAAATCACAAAACCGCCTCAATTTGTAGGTAAGGCAAGGATTGGAGCTGATGTGAATCTCTGTTTAAACTCTTGGAAATTACGCTCACAATCATCATTCCACTCAAACTTTACCCCTTTCCTGGTGAGATTGGTAAGTGGCAAAGCAATACGGGAGAATCCTTCCACAAACCGTCTGTAATACCCAGCAAGCCCTAGAAAGCTACGTACCTCCGTCACAGAAGTAGGTCGTGGCCAATCAACAATTGCTGTCACCTTCATGCTATCCACAGATACCCCATCTTTACTCACTACATGACCAAAAAAGGATACACTGCTCAACCAGAATTCACACTTCTTAAATTTAGCATACAGTCTCTTCTCCGTAAGGATCTGCAGTACTACCCTCAAATACTGCTCATGCTCCTTCTTACTCCTCAAATAAATTAGGATATCATCAATAAACACTACCACAAATTTATCCAGTTAAGGTTTGAATACTCTGTTCATCAAATTCATGAATGCGGCTAGTGCATTTGTGAGACCAAAAGGTATCACCAATAACTCATAATGCCCATAACGGGTTCTAAAAGCGGTCTTAGGAACATCTTTATCCCTTACCTTCAACTGGTGATAGCCTGACCTCAAGTCAATTTTAGAGAATACTTGAGCTCCCTGCAACTAGTCAAATAGATCATCAATGCGTGGCAAAGGATACCTATTCTTCACTGTGATTTTGTTTAGGTCTCTATAATCAATACACAATCTCATAGACCCATCATTCTTCTTCACAAACAACACAGGTGCTCCCCAAGGTGAGACGCTAGGCCAAACAAAACCTTTGTCTAGCAACTTTAGTAACTGAGTTTGTAACTCCCTCAACTCCAATGGTGCCATTCTATAGGGCGTTTTAGAGATAGGTGTTGTATTGGGGACCATGTCAATGGAAAATTCTACCTCACGGTCTGGAGGAAGACCAAGTAGATCCTCTTAGAAAACATCAACAAATTCCCTCACTACAGGAAACTCCTCTAACCTCTGCTCTGGTTGTTCGGTACTCACCACACAAGCTAAATAACCATGACACCCTTTTCTCAACATTTGGTTAGGCTGAAGAGAAGAAATAAAACAAATAGAAGACCCTTTCCCATCTCTCTAAAAGAAAAACTCATGTTGCCCCAGCATAGCAAAAACTACCCTCTTTTTAAAACAATCAATAGAGGCATGATGCTTCGTTAGCCAATCCATCTCCAAAATCACATCAAAATCCTTCATCTCTAAAGAAATCAAATCCACTGGAAAAATTCTACCATCTAACTCTATCTCACAAGATCTATAAACATCCCCTAACACTACCGTTTCCTCTAATGGAGTAGACACAGCAACACATGTATTCAAAGGCTCACAAGGAATAGACAAACAACGTAAAAACTTAGGTGCAACAAAAGAATGTGTAGATCCTAAATCAATTAACACTCTGGCAAGTACAGATGATATAAGGAGTACACCTTGTACCACAGATGGAGAAGCCTCAGCCTCCTCTCTAGTGAGGGCATAAACACGTCCTTGGGTAGCCGCTGACTTCTTTTCCTGAATCCCATTCCCGGATGTCTGACCTTGGGTAGTCCCACTTTTGCCATTATTCTGCTTATGGTTAAACCCACCGCTATAAAAAGTTCGTCTCTGCCCTTGCCTCTGAAATGACTGTGCTACTGACTGACCTCCCAGTCCCTTAGACCTACATTGTGCAGAGAGATGCCCAGGCTTGCCACACTTGAAGCATATTCGAGCTGTGCCATCACAATTATACCCAACAGAATGTGACCTACCACATCTATCACAAATCCTCCGATTCTGCTGCGTCATACCATTGCTAACCTGACCTTGGATGTAAGGCTTCTTGCTAGGATTGTTACCACCACCACGATGCTCTACTTGTCTCTCCTCCCTAAGTCTCTTGTTTTGTGGTTCCTTGGCCTTTTGTTCCTCAGCTCTCTTTTCCTCTTCTATTCCCTTTTCAGCTAGTAATTTGTTGCTTACCAATGCAAAACATGTCTTCATCTCCAAAATAGCTACTTTTGCATAGGTTTCTGACCGCACGCCATTCTCAAACAACATCACTCTATCTTCCTCTATGGCCATCTGATGTGGGGCATACCTCGACAACTTTGCAAACTTGGCTTCATACTGAGTCACTGTCATGTCATTTTGCTTCAGATTGAGAAAATCCACTTGTTTCTGCCTTCGCACCGCTTTAGGGAAGTATTTCTCATTAAACAATTCTAGAAACTTGCTCCACTCTAGCTCTGTTTCTCTACTCTCATATTGACGCTTCACCATGTGCCACCAATGCTCTGCTTGGCCCTTGAACCTAAAAGCTGCAAAGGCCACCTTCTGATTTGCTGAACAACCTAAAACATCAAATATTTTCTCCATCTCTAGTACCCATGCCTCTGCCTCCGTAGGGTCCATTGTTCTGTGAAATTTTGGAGGTTTTGCCTTCATAAACCTCTCAAATATGGAGCCTCTATCCAAACTTAAAGTTAGTGGAACTGCTGGTTATGGGGCTACATGATTGTTCAGTAGTCCCAACAATGATTGTAAAACTTGTGCGGCTGGTGCAGCAGGAACAACTCCTGGTGCTTCAGAGACCACTAGAGCAACAGGTGGTGCAGTAGGGGGAATAGGAACAAGGGGAACTCTACGATTAGCGGCTGGTTGATCAGTTCGAAGAACATTGACACTTCTTCTCCTCTGTGTCATCTCTTAACCTTCAAAATGAAATTAAGAAAAGCTTAACACAAGCTTAAACAAAAATAACTTAACCAAACACTACTAAGGACTATAGGGACTCGGACCTTGTCTAAATGATGAAATGCAAGATATGTAACTCGATAAACTACAGCTCTGATACCAAGTGTCCACTTAAGCATAGGAAACGTCGCTTGAGCGTAGAACACACTCATCCAGTATTTGCAGATCTGCAAAAATATTGAGAGTTTGCAAAGTCCACTTGAGTGCAAGAATGGTTGCTCAAGCAGAGGAGCAAAAATTGAAAAGCCCGCTCGAGCGCAAGAATGGCTGCTCGAGTGGAGAAACAAAAATCTGGGTAACAAAGGTTTAGAAAAATAAGCAACCAACCTATTCCAAACACACAACTACAATCCAATAACCAAATTTAAGGGGGACTAAGGAGAAAAATAACAATGAACAATATTCAGAAACTATAAGTCCAGGTTCGAAATACAACAAGAGTCGGGTCAAAATCGAAATCGCTATAACTATAGATCTTGCCACCAAGCTTTTCTGATACACTTTGCTACTCCCTGCTCCTACTCCTTTCTGACCAATTCTTCTAGCAAGCCCAGAAAACCCACTTACTAACAATGGATTTTTAGTTCCACCATTTCTGATCACTTTCCTTTTCCCTTTCTTAAACAGGGTGTTGATGGAACCACCACTACAGGCACTAATGGTATCATTAACTTTTGATTTAGAGCCCACCCTGTGAGTCCACCTCCTGTACTAACCAAAGGGTGACTGAGCCTATTACCATTAGATTTATACTAGAGTAGCCTAATGGGCTAAGGCCTAGATTGATCTTGGCCCAAATCTACCTCCAAACTAATTCTAGGTCTTTCTTTTTGGGTTTCGCTTAAGCTTCTAATAAATCTTGGAGTGACTATCTACCCATCAACTTTTTGAACCCTAGCAACTTTTCCAAAATCATGATTGCACAGTTGCTGTTGCTACTACTGCATACTTTCCACTGCAATCATTGTATCTCCCACGCTTGGTCCTTCTTCATTTGAGTTTCCCATGCATTTTTCAGTCTCTTTCACCACTGATACCTGAAGCCAACTGTCACCTATCTCTACCTCACCTCCCTCTATCAGCCTAGATGTTGATTCACCTATTGCCTTCTCATTTTTTTTTGCCACATCATCTTCCACCTCGGCAGCCTTATCAGCAGCTTCTTTCCCCCTCTTACTCTCTTCAGCTGATTGTAACACCCTATTTACATTGGAGCTAACATCCTCTTCTCCATCATCAGTATTGGTACCTTTGCAAGTGGTCAACACCTCCTTGATAATCCATTCCTCACAGACTCTTATTGGGTAGACTCTTCCTTGGCATTCTAGATTCATATTGATGTTTATCAATCAAGTCAATAGCACTTGTGGCTATTTTTACCTTTCCACAACGAAATGATGTTGGTTCACAGATGTCACGATCTAGGTGTATCACCTCCTTCATAATCGTCCAATCTTTCTGAAGGTATCTAAGTTCCATAGATTCAGAGGTACACCATAGCAGCTAATCCAAACATACCTCTCCTACTGAAGTTGCATTCCAGATTTCCACTCTGTAATGTATTCACACCAGTCTTGGAACCAAACATTAAGCAGACTATTTGTACTTCTCAAAGCCTCCCTAGAACTGAATGATATGGCTACATCACGCCCTCCTCATTCTCTCACCATTACATTCACCACTCCTTTTGCTTTGAGTTCTTTTTTTACCTCCACAGCAGAGTAGTTTGGTTTGAGCCTCATAATCATGCTCTCATACAACCAGCCATTTCCTATTTCTTCTACTCTGATTGTGGTAGTTGTTTTACCTCTTGGTTGAACTCCTTTTGTGACCTCTGCAAACGACTTTCTATTAGTTCCTTGATTTTACCTTTTTGTTTCAGTCATTTCTGATGGCCTTCTTGTCTCCATGTGCCTCCATTGTACTTGTTTCAACCCCATTCTTGCACCGTTTTCTTTTCCATAAACTACACTTTGGACTATCAAAGCTTTGTCATCTACCCATAATCCATTTGCCTTTTGTTCTGTTACACTGGCTGCAACAAAACAATCAAAGCGTACAAACCCAAATCTTGTGTTTGTTGTTTTCCTCCTCTTTTGTGAAATGAATATGTCCTTTACCACACCAAACTTTATAAACAAAGCATACATACTTCTTGGTTCCATTGAATCTGGTAAGTTACCCACAAACAAAGTGTACAGCCCTGCTCTGCTACCTTCCTTCCACCGATCTTGATTTGCTTGTCTTCCTCTCTGCTTTACCACTAGAATCCATCCTCCATCCTTACTTTGCTGTTGTTCACCCATAACAACCAAACACTACCTAATTGATAAAAGTTAGAAATTCAAATTTTTTTTTTTTTGTATCATAATGTTTTTTTTTTATTTAAAAAAAATTATTTTACTTTCCTAATAGCACCAATAGGCTACTAAAATTTAAAAATAAAAAATCCAAGTCCAGGATTCGGAACAGGGTGGGAAATCAAAGTTTATATAGTGGAGCTCGAGTTGTACTATGTATTGATTTCATGCAACATTTTAGTGGGAGATCCAACAGTAGTATCTAATAAAAGCAACTCACAAGTTGAGATAGAGATGTTCTATGTACTAATAATTAAAGAAAGAAAGAAAGAAAGAAAGAAAGAAAGAAAGAGGGGTTTTATATCACACGAGCCACAAGTTTGAGCTGGATTTCCTTGCTTACGTGTTGATCACCAGCTATCTCTCCCAATGGGCAAAAAATTAACCAGTTGCTATTATTATTACATAATAATAAAGTGGCCTCCTTTCAATATCTTCAAAGATCCATTCGTTTCCTATTAAGGATTTTGAGTTGTAAAGTTATCTTAAATTACATAAAAATGAGATTCAAGATTTTGTTGGGGTCACTTGGTCAATTGGCTATATATGATTCTCTGCTATTTACACCCATAATTTTTTTAAGTTCATTCATATTCTGCCTAAATTCACTTTCCAAAATTAAAATTTTAAATTTTCATAGTACACCTATAATCTTACAAAAAGTACTCTCATTGTTAACTTTTAAAACCTTAACCCAAAACCAACTCACACAAATTAAGCACATCATTAAGGGGTTGTTTGGTTTTTGTGTTGGGCTAAATAATTACAAAATAATAAAAAAAAGTCAAAAAATTACAAAAAGCCAAAAATCACAAAAGGACAAAAAAAATCTACCAATCCAAAGCTAAAAAGCCAAAAAAGCCAATCAAAAATACCAAACGAACAAAAACGTCTTAGGTTAAAAAAGTAAAAAAAATCCAAAAACCAACTAAAAAAGTCATTGTCAAACGAAGGCTAATTCTAAATTGTTTGCAACTCAACCCTAGATTTATTTTACAAATTTAGCACCACAAGGAATCTAAATAGCTTGTTTTAATCATATATATATAGGGTAATGCTACATATCATGAAATAAATATCATGAAAAACTTCATGAAACTAATCCAATGGTGAATGCATAACATACAATAAAACACTACAAACACTATAATCTAATCCAAGGGTGGAGAATCTTCATGAAAACTTTTCATGACATTGTTTTCATGATACCTAGCATTATTGATATATATATATGTAATTTTTCACACAATCTCTAAGTACTCACTTTATACAAATATAGAATATGTGACACAAAAATTTATTCACATAATTTCTTCTCCTCAAACCCCCCCAAATGATGACAAGAAAAAAGTAAATTAATCACCCACGACTTCTCTTCTCTCAAAAGCTTTCAATCAACATTGTCACGTCATTCAAAAAATTTATGTAAATATAATATTATATAATGAATAATTTATTTTAATCATATGTAATTTTCACACCATCTCCAAATACACACTTCATGCCAATGCATAATATGTTATACAATAATCCCAGGTGAATCACTTCATACCAGTTGCAATTAAATAAATAATATAGGATCGAAGATCTAGGCATAAATTGAACTAAGATCTAGGTAGTGATTTCCTTTATCTTTTGATTAAAAAATTAGAGCACCATCTTCACAAAGTAATACCACCTTCCTTTTTTTTTACCATCAAAAAAGAAATTTTATTGATAGAAAACATACAAAGTATAATAACGTACATCAATAAAAAGAAAGTTGGTGAGTAACCAACAGGCAGACCAAAACAAAACAAAACAAACAGAATCAACCATAGAACTACACTCACGGCAGCCCAGCCTAACAGCAAAATCAACATAACACACCCCTTGAATACCATTCCTCCATAAACCTCTTCTGGTGGAGCATTAGTTTTGCATATTAACAGTCCACATCTGATCTGCATGTGGACAGAGCACAAAGGGACAGAGCAACAAAGCACAGAAACAGGTTCACAAATTGGCATTAGTGGCAGAACAGATCAGCAACAAAACATGCACTTTTGATTGCATCCACTACTTCAAATCCTCAGGCTGAGATCAGGTTTGGTAATGCAAATTTGTGCTAGCAGATGAGACCAGCAAATCAGGCTGACATCAGCAGCAACAAAGCTCTGCCAAGCAAACACACACCCCCTTCCCTTGCGTCATGTCCATCCAATATTTTTTTTTTGATCGGCAAAAAATAAACTTTATTGATGAAATGAACAAGTACAAGGTACAAGATAAAATACATCAATAAAGGAAAGAGAAGTGCAAAAGCATCACAGAGAGCTAAATGATCCCAACTAGGTTGACACCACAGAGCTCACCCTATCATCTGCTAGCACCCCAAAGTTGGTGAGAGACCAACGGAAAAAAGAAGAAAGAAGAAGAAGAACCAACCAACCACCGCAGATTGAGAACTACTACTAGCCCAACACCCCAAAGATAGTCATGTCCATCCAATATGATACAACTATTTATATATATATCTCTACCAGCTCACTGTCTCTCTTCACCAAATAACTTATCAAACCTCTCTTTCTCTCTCTCTCTCTCTCTAGAAATATGGGTGCTCCTGAAAATCTATCCTCTTTTGGATGTGAACTTAGAATCATTAGAGCCAAAAACATAGAGTTGAAATCCCCTGGACACTTGTTTGTCAGATGCTATCTCTCCGCAGGAAACAACAACAGGGTTCGACTAGACAGCCAAGAAATCTCATCAAAATCCGACTTGTTTTGGAATGAAACGCTCTCGTTAGAGTGTTCGGGTACCCAAGACTCCATGGAGATGCTGCTGATGCAAGGAAGTGTTGTTTTTGAACTTCGGTGGAGAAGCAGCCTACCGGTTCTTGGGAAAATTGGAGGATCACATCTCTTGGGTAGAGCTGAGATTCCATGGAAAACTGTCTCCGAGACCCCGGAGATGGAAATTGAGAAATGGGCAGTCATGGTTCCAAAAAGTAGACGCGTATATGAAGATATCAAGCCACCTGCAGTGCAAGTAGCAATGAAGCTTAAAGTTCCGACAGTAAAAGAGGCGACGTCGGTGCCAGTGCCGGTGTTGATGCCGATGACGATGAGGAAGAGGAGAAATAATCAAAGGGTGACAAATTCAGATGAGTGTGGATGCGTGGACGTTGGGTGCAATTGTGCAGATTATGATATGTTTGCACTAGTTGCAGCTTTGGATGGCTTTTAGGTTGGCAAGCCACTTAGAAGCTCTAGGGTTGGTGTGAATATTTTTTTGCCTTTATTCCTAAATATTTTAATTGAGACAACAGAATACATGAAGGCGTGCGGCACAGTAGGTCTCTTAGAAATGCTTTGATGTAATTCATTTGTATGGTTGGCAATCAATAAAGGGTTGTTTTTTGCTGTTCAAAAAAAACAGAAAAAAAAAGAAGAAATGCTTTGATACTTTATTTGAAATGCGAATGTGCTTATCTCATCTCAATTGACATTGTATAATGAAATCTAAGTTGGCAAAAAATTTGTATCGCAAGTGTTCTATTTATTTCATCTGAATTCATAGTATATATATGAAGGGAAATGTTAGGGATCATGAAAAAATTGTGATCTTTAGATTACCTTGATTAATGTGTGGTGGTTGATTGTAAATGTAATTCAAAGGTCACAAATCTTTCATGATTATTTTCATGAAAGACTTTTCATGATACTTACCATTGCTGATAAATGAATGCATATCTAAATTGATAATTTATTTCATACAAATTTACAATATATATAATTAATTAAAGATTAAACATAATTAAGTAGGATTAAATTAAGCCTTAATTGGGATTAATTAAGTTAATTAAGTTTTGTGGTAATCATGACTAGTTAGGACTAAGTTAATTAAAGATTAAACATAATTAATTAAGCCTAATCATTGATTAATTAAGTTGATGAGAAATTAGCAAATTAATCTAATCAAACTCAAGTTAATTAAAATATTAGTGAAAGTTCTAGAGAATGTGAGAAAATTCTTAAACCCTCACGATTTTATGTTTATGAGTGTGTATATGAGGAGAGAGAGTAAGCAACTTCATTTCCCTTATTTGTGCTAGAGCATTGAGCTCAAGAACTCTATAGAGAGTGAGTGAAGAAGAGCGCAAGTCTAGTGTAAGAAATTGGAGGAAGTAAACTCAAGAATTCAACAATCCAAAGCTTTAGGTAAGAAATTAAAGTTTAAATGTTATAGATAATTACTCAAAAGCTGAAATCAAGAAGTAATTAGATTCATGATTTAGCCAAATGAATGGAGCTAGCATATGATTGATCTCTCTTTTCAGTGCCAATTAGGGGTGGGTAACGATTTATCCAATCTGTAAAACCTGCCCAACCCACATACTAATAGGCCGTTTCGCAAATACAATGCGAGGGGATGCGATTTAAAATATGGCATGTTTGCGGGTTTAACCCGCATCCGCAAGAACCCGCCCGCACTTTCTTTTTCTTTTTTTTTTTATATATATTATTATTATTATTTTTATCTTAACCGTTGATTTCATTCCTATATCTCACCTAAATATTTTTGTCCAAAACAAAACACCCTTTATTCTTTGAACTTACTCTAACATTACATCTACTAATAGTATTATATCAACTGAAACTGAATAAATACTGATCATATTATTATTGTTACATAACTGAGCTTGTCCCGGATGAAGTGTGATTTGAAATTTTAAATTCCTTAATGAATATGAAATTCTAGTTTAGGATTTTAAAATATGCGCTTGTGTTAATTTACGATTTGATTTAAGATTTTAAATGATTTGTTTGTGTTACGAATTGATTTTGTTATATTTTTAATTTTATAAGTTTTAATTCATTAATTATTAATGTTGGAGCATTTTAGAAAATGGGGAGAAAATGGCCCAAAATAAATATTTACAAAATGGGAAAAAAAAAATAAGGCTCAAAAATAAATTTTTGAAGACAAAAGTCTAGTCCGCAAATCGCTTGCAACTGCCTGCACATCCGTGAATCCTATCCGCATAAACCGTACTGCGGGTGGTTACAGGTTATCTTTTCCCCAAACCACATAAATGTGGGCGTGTCCAAACCGATTTGCAAACTGTCCAAATTCGAACTGCGAACACCCCTAATGGCAACCTATAGTTGGGATTGTCTAACTTAGCTATGTTACTGTTGGCTTTTTGACTTTCGAAGGTTAATTATATAATTTAAAGTGTGCTAGTAAGAATCAATTAGTCCTTACAGAATTTTAATTACCAACCAATTATCAGATGATTGTGTCGAAATTCTTTATGTCTCAATGAAGAGGACTTTTACTAGTGGCTTGTTTTTGGAAAAATTTATAAGAAATAATAAGTACATAACAATTCAGAAACTGAATCTCATTAAGTAAATAGGAACTTACAATGCAATGACCCAGCCTTGAAAAGGTTTACAGTAACGACTACTCGAAACTACTCTTAGGAAATGAAGTGCGGTACAAGAATTGTAGTACTTAAATGTAAAGAACTGGAAATGTAAAACTGGAAAGAAATATGATGTAAATAAACTAGTTTCTAGACTTAAGTATGGGTCCTTCAATTTGGGGCCTTCTCTACTATTTATATTCTCCAAAGGTAACCGTCGAAGTGGGCTTCCAACCGTCGAAATGTCCTCCCGTCACACCCCAAATCCGAACATGACCGGCTGTGGCCCACAGGGACTTAGCCCAAGGCACACGTAAGCCTAAACATGAACTAAAAACCATAAAGAATAAATATGATGATAGCCCAGAAATAAATAAATCAACACTCAATCCAGTGACATACCACAAGTGAAAAACAAGTCATAACCAATTTCCTAAAAATATATGTATACTAAATGGGACATAAACCGCCCACAAAATAAAATAATTCTAAATAAAACCCAACCACAATGTATGCACAAAACTCGACAAAGCAACCTAAAACAAATTAAATAAAGCCTTAGAGGTCCATGCAATTGAGTCCCCGCTATGCCATGAGTCCACTCTAAGTCCTTCTAACACCTGGAAATAGTAAACAACTAAGTTAGCTGATAGCTCAGTGAGTCGCAACATGGATAGTAAATACAGTTTTGAAAATAGGGTTCAATTCCAAAATAAGATATATATCACAGAAACTAGATTGGCATACAGTTTGGTAAATACAATCTGTTTCAAAAAGAAGGTTCCATAGTTCAACACTTAAAATACTCATGTCTCGCAAGAACATAATAAACGACATTTTTCACTTAAAACAGATTATAACATGAACACCAATAATTTTCTGGGTACCAAGAAAAACAAATAATATACCACACAGTTCTCAAGGCTATAAGCCCCGTTGGATCCAATACCGAACTAAAATTTATCCTCAGGGTGGCATCTGGGCCTTTTCTCAAAGACGATCTGATTGAAGATCACCTAACTTTTTTTTAAGGTCTTTTCCTTACAATCGTTGAGTACTAGAGTCATCACGACCCAACCTAGATCTGTTCCCTAGTGGCCAGAGTCACCACACACAGTGGAATAATTTCTCTGGACTAAATACACACATGGTCCCAATAATCAATACACATCAGTTTCGCAAAACATGGTAGTTCATCACTATAAACATGAGACCAAAACAAATAATTTACAGTATGCCAAGTTCACACATGTTTCATAAATAATTGGATTCCATTGATAATATAATAATTTATCAAAACAGTTTAGTCTTAAAACAACAATTTAATTTTCCAACAGTTCAAGTAGGGGAACATTTATAAAAATACGTAGCATAATACTACTCACCTGAAAACAATATAATATAATCCTCGAATAAAGTATGAAAGTCCAACTGGTGCCTTGAACCAATATGAAAACTACACGTCACTACTAATTTAAAAATACTAAAGAATAAGAACTAAGTAACCCCAAACTAAAGCGCACTAACACGGCTCAACCCAACTCACCGTTACTCTTAAATATTACCTAAGTTCATGTTCTTCAAGGTCTAAAATCACCCAAGACATAGGTTCCGATCGAAACTTAACTAAAAGTGACTTTAAGATAAAACAGAGTTTTTCCAATCTATTCACTAACTTTGAAAATTAAAAAGCGACTCCACGTTGTTCGAAAAATTCTAAAACCCTCCAGATATCAACTAATATATCCTAAGTTCCAAACCCAATTGGTTTCACTTGATTTGCTTATGAAAATAATTATCTACAATTTATTATATCCAAACAGGTTATTTTCTGCAGCACTTTAAGGAAATTGACGGTTCTCTTAGTATACATGAGAAATCAACACAAGGTCAAAAATTCAAGAAACTAGACTCATAACCGGTTCTAATGATGCCAATTTGATAATTTTTGGATTTATACCCAAAGAGAACAACACTCCTGAATTTACTATTAAAAACTAGTTTTTCTGGACAGATTTGAACGCAGTATCAGTTTATATAGATTTTGACTCCCAAAAATCATGAAAAATTCATATATGCAATTCAATATGTAATTAATCTACTGTAAAAATTTCATTTTAAAATTCATCCGTTTGATATGGTTTCTTGATTTTTAAAGTTTGTGATTCTGTGTAGAATTTTTGAACTAAGAATTACACCATTCTTTATACATAAAGCACTATCCCAATCAACTAAATATTTCATAGCCATGCCCAACACATGAACCTACTTCACCGATTTGATCCATCAACTACACATCAACTCACAAGAAGAAGAAAAAGATAGTGAAGGAATAAAAATAATAAGGGATTGACCTTGCCAATGGCCACCACAAAACTCAACAATTTTCACCCAATGACCTAGATGTCTCTCTCCCTCCCTTTACCTCTCACGGCTGCTCAGAAAAGTTGTGGGAAAACAATATCATAATAATTAGGGTTTGTGTTTATTTTATTTATACTAGTGGTGGGTACACATAGGTCAAATAAATAGATAAATATACAAAATACATATATAAGTTATATGCAACTCAAATGGTAAAGCCTTCTTTATTAAGTTTGTGGTCTAGAGTTTAAGTCACACCCTCCTCTCTATTTACTTTATTTTATTTTTATTTATTTTTTAGATAATAAATATTGCCTCTAAATTAAAGACTTTCACCATAAATTTATTTTAGGTTTTAAAATTAATTAAAAGATCCTCCAATAATATTTAATTTGCACCTTAGAATTCACCACCAAAATATTTGAGATTGTAATATTATTATTTAATTATT